ACTGGGTTAAGATACTGGGTTAAGATACTGGGTTAATGTACTGGTTTAAAGGTATCGGGTCAACAGCACTGGGTTAATAGGTACCGAGTTAACAGATACACGATACACCAATACCGAGTGATGATGGTTCATTGAGATTGTTGATTCAGTCAATACCTATGTACCTACCTAGTAATAATGGTAATGGTTCATTAAGATTGATACTCCAGATCAAGTCACGATACGCGAAAATGATAAAGATGATGAAAATAGCGAGAATAGCGACGATGAATATCTTTATTCTTCATATCATGGCCGAGAAGTGAGATGGATTTTCATCTGTTTGTTTTTGTGTTTGTTTTCTATTGAGTTACTGTATCTACTGTATTTCTTCATCAACCTCTCTCTCGCATTTTCTTTCTCTCTCCTTTCCCTTCACCCGTCAACTCTTCCTAACTCCGTCTCCGAATCTTACATACAATTGATTCATAATCTTCAATGCCTAGATATGTATAATCAATTTAAGCATCATCAGGATTCAACAAGTATCTTGGCAATTGAATTTGTATTTGGCATGGCAAGAGGGAATAGGGAATTCGCATTTCAATTAAACCCGACGACATTTGCAGAATAAAAAGGACAAGAAAAATTAAGAAAAATAAGAAATCTTCCCCTGGTCCTTGATACGAACGACAACATCAAAAGGAAAAAGGTAAGTCTTCCCCTTGTTCTTGGTACGAACAGTAATCTGGGCATCAATTTGGTTTTCTATTTCTATTTCGAGGTTGGTCAGGTCAGGTCTAGGTAGGTACTGTAATTCTGTCTGTAACCCTTCAGCCTCTTTTTTCCTTTTCCTTTTTCATAGCCTTGCTGGATTTTATGAGGGTTTGATTGGTTGGGATTGGTTTTAGATGGTATTCAAATCAAACATTTTTTATGTATGTTTACTTTATATACCTACCTAGGTAGATATTTACACATTTACATATTTACACAATTATCACACATTTATTCACATCTATTATACATCTACATTTACACATCTTTCGTCCCAAATCCAAAACACCAAACACCAAACACCAAACACAAACTTATAACCACCACACAAACAAACGTCGATCAAACCGTTCAATCCCTCCCTCTCTCTCTCTTATCCCTTGTCAATTCAATTGAGCGATTTACAAGCAAAGCAACACAAACACGAAAAATACACATTTTGCTTACATCTATTCCACGAAACTTTATCGGACTAATCGGACGAAAAAAGAAGAAGAAGGAAAAGAAGGAAAAAAGAAGAATTCCGACGGGTCAAATCAATATATTCTGAAAAGGCATTCTATTTATGTGGGATAAAGGTATTCCTTAAAAACAGTACAGTCAGTCCATACTTTCCCCGAAGAATCCAAATCAACAAGGGGGTAAATTTTTTATTACTCCCCCAATTTCCTGGTGTCCCCCAAAAAAAATCAAAAGGA